GAAAAGAAAAATGAGGGAAGGATTTAGGGTCTATGGGGTCAGCTAAGTCCCCTCTCAAAAGCTTATTAGAGGGGTTTTGCCAGTAAGGCAAAGCCTGGTATCCAGAGGTGAAAATATTCTACCATACCTAGGAAGGAGTGAAACTGCTGTTTAGTAGAAAGAGTTGGGGTCTGGGAGATCAATCAGATATGATCAGCTGGGAGTGTGTTCTGTTGGAGTTCTCTGCCAAGGTAGGTGATGGATTTGGAAGAAATTTGGCCTTTGGAAGGGGATATGTGATACCCCTTTGAGTATAGATGCTGAAGAGGCAGAAGGGTATCTTGCTGGGAAGATTCATAAGAGGGGACTGCAAAGAAGGTTGTCCATGTATTGAATAAGATGAGAAGCAGATGGACAGAAGGAAAAGTAGATCATGAGAAAGGGCTTGACTAAAGTAGTGAGGGTCTCTGAAGCCTTTGGGCAGAACGGTTCAGGTGAGTTGCTGAGACTGGTAGGTGTCGGGGTCAGCCCAGGTGAAGGCAAAAAGAGGCTGAGAGGAGGGGTGTAAAGGGATGGTGAAGAAGACCTCTTTGAGATCAAGAATGGAATAATGGGTTGTAGAAGGGGGTTATTGAGGATAGGAGGTTTGTAGACGGGGGTATTTGAGGATAAACATAAGGTACAACAGGATGGATGGGAAGTACAGTCTGACTGATGAGGTGAAGGTCTTGGACTAGTCTGTAGGATTTGTCTGGTTTCTGGACAGGTAGAATAGGGGAGTTGTAAGAAGAATTTGTAGGCTTTAAAAGGCCGTGTTGTAATAGACAAGTGATAACAGGCTATAGGCTTTTTAGAGCCTGTTGTGGAATGGGATACTGGTGCTGGGTGGGATAAGGGTGGTTAGGTTTTCAGGGGATGGTAAGGGGCATGTGATCGGTTGCTAAGGAAGGAGTAGAGGTGTCCCATACACGTGGATTGAGGTAGGAGATGTGAGAGGAGGTTGTGAAGGAGGCTTTGAATCGGGCATAAGGGTAGCTATGAGATGTGGCTATAGTCTAAGAATAGTCAGAGAGGTAGATAATTTATTTAAAATGTCTTGGGCTAGTAAGGGAACTGGACAGGTAGGAATAAGGAGTGTGTAAAAGAATGCTGTCTAAGGTGGCACCAGAGTTGGGGAGTTTTAAGAGGTTTAGAGGCTTGGTCCATCGATACCCACAACAGTATGGCGGCAAAGGAAACAGACCCTTGAAAAGAAAGCAATATGGAGCGGGTAGTCCCCATATCGATCAAGAAGGGGATGGGCTTACCCTTCACTGTAAGAGTTATGCAAAGCTTGGTGTCTGTGATGGTCCAGGGGGCTTCCTAAGCAGTCAGGCAGCATCAATCTTCAGTTGCTGAGACAGAAAGTTCTGGAAAGAAGTCAGCTGGAGAACATTGGGTTTGAACTCCAGGAGCCTTGGGAGTGGCTGTAATATGAGCTGAACAGTCCGTTTTTCAGTGGGGTTCCCCACAGACAGGACATGGTTTAGAGGGGGCCTTGGGCTGTGAGCACTTATTAGCGCAGTGTCCAAGCTTTTGGCATGTGAAGCAGGATGGAGCCCCAGGCTTTGGACACTCCCTGACCCAGTGGCCAGTTTGCTGGGGTTTGAAGCAAGGCTTTGGGGGAGGAGGTCCTGAAGAGAAGCCTGGATGCTGTGGATTTGCTGGTCTGAAACTTCTGCAAGCTGAAGGAGTGGCTGGGGTCTGTTTTGCAGCGGAGGCAAGCATTTGCAGCTCTGAAATGCATTGTTGTTTGGCTGCTTCCTCCCTATTGTTGAACACCTTGAAGGCGAGGTTAACTAAATCCTGTTCTGGGGTTTGAGGGCCTGAGTCTAGTTTTTAAAGTTCTTTCCTAATGTCTAGGGCAGATTGGGTAATAAAATGCTTATTGAGAATAAGGTGACCCTCTGGGTCTAGGGAAGCGTTTAAGAGTTTCTGCTAGGTGGGCCGTGAAATGGGCATGGTTGTTTGCCCTGGGTTGTTTCTTTAAGCTTGTCATAATTAATGGCTTTTTAAGCTGCCTGCTTAAGTCCCTCAACCAAACAAAACCACCATATAGTCACACTTGGTGGTGTCAGGAGAGCCCACCTGGTAATGCCATTGGGGTTATTCCCTAGGTACTGCCCTGATGCTTTCTTGGAGGGCTGGCTCATGGCGTCTGCAGGTGTCAGCATGAGACTAAGCCAGAGTATAAACCCTATTTCATATTTCATTCATCTGGAGAAAGAGTAGAGGTTAGAATGACACTTAAGTCATTCCAGGTTAAATTGTAGAACTGAGTTAGATATTAGAAGTCTTGAATATATTTAGTGGGATCTAATGAAAAGGATCCTAAGCACTGACTAACTTGGGACAGATCAGACAGAGGAAAAAGGAACACGTACTCTGACTATGCCCTCGGCTCCAGCCACCTCTTGAAGGGGAAACTGTTGGGCAGGGGAGGGAGAGCTAGTTTTAGGACTGAATTGTGTTCCTGAGTGGGTGTGGGATGGAGAAGTGACAGGAGGTATAAGAGGGAGGGGATGGGGCTGTGGGGAGATTAGGGTCCAGTCCTGCCTGATAAGGGGCAGCCTGAGGGGGAAGGGAAAGGTCAGAAGGGTCTATTGAGAGTGAAGAATCTATATTGGCAGTAGAGACAGTGGGCGCGGGTGGGAAGGAAAGAAGAATTTGAGAGGAGACACATTGGGAGCAGAGGCTGGGAAGGGAGCAAAGTGTGAAAAATGCCTGGACTTAAGGGGCTTCAGACCATTTGCCCATTTTACGACAAAAGTTGTCTCGATCCTGCAGGATAGAAAAATCGAAGGCACAGTTTTTTGGCCATTTGGAGCCTTTGTCCAATTTATATTGGAGCCAAGTGGTATTGCAGAAGAAAATAAGACGCTTAGGTTTTTTAGGTCGGGTGATAGCCACAGAGGTCTGAGGCTTTTCAGAACACAGGCTAAGGGAGAGGAGGGAGGAATGGAGGGTGGGAGGTTGCCCATAGTTTAAGAAGAGCAGCGGAGACAAGGAAAGTGAATGCGAAACCAAGACGCATAGCAGGCGCCCCAGACTAAACCTTGGTCTGAACCTGGGGTGAATCAGTCAAAGGGGGGTGTCCCTTGCATTGATCCATCCCCTATGAGTGTGAGTGAGTGACCAGAGCAGACTCTGCAATAATTGGTCACTGAGGGAAGACTCTCTTCCTGGTTCCATGACCTGTGTAGTATTTTTTTTCTGGTCATGAACCTCACAGAAAATCCTGTCTGTCTTGTCTCCACTGAAAGGGAGAGGAAAATGAAACTGAAAGGAGAAGGAAGCTGACAGGTAGTGAGAAGGGCTAAAGAGAAGAGTTGAGGCAAACTGCTTACCTGATCTGAGGATGGGGAGTGGGTCTGTGGGCTGGTCTGATGAACCTAGGTGATAGGGAGGCCTCTTCAGAGGGAGCACAAGGAGAACAGGGACAGGGCGTTTGGTCTCCCATAGGAATTCCTCCGTCCCAGGTTTCTGGCACCAAATGTTAAAACATTCACTCTGAATGAAGAGACCCCTCCGCCCCTGCTAACAGGCTTTGTGTGAGCAACATGGCTGTTTATTCACCTGGGTGCAGGCAGGCTGAGTCTGAAAAGAGTCAGCAAAGGGTGGTGGGATAGGAGTTAGTTTTATAGGTTTGGGGCAGGCAGGGGAAAGTTACAGAAGTTAGTATAGGATGGGTTTTTGCAAGCTGGGAGGGAGGGGGTTGTAGGGTCTGGAGTCATGAGGTTGACCAAGGTCAGTTACGAAGTCCAATGGCTTTGTCAATTGAGGTAAGAAGAAGAAACAACAGAAGAATCTCTCAAGTTAGGCGCCACAGGGGTTGGTTGATCTGCTTTTCATGGTCTTCCAGTTACTTCGGGTTTTCTAATTCCAGAAGGCCCTCCAGAGGTATACCTGCAGGTCACGGGTCACTGTGGTGTCCATGGTGCCATCAGTCAGCTTAAAAGACCTTAAATTGCTTCTCACCACATTCTTAACTTGCCTGTTTGGCTTATGCAGAAGACAGATTCTGGAGAATGACAGGCCAGGATTGTCAAACTTAGTCAAGTGGTGACTCTAGTTACTGTTGCAGATGTGATTTGTTGTTTGAGCAAATTAATGTAACCTTTTGGTACCTGGTATGCAGCTATTTATTTGGCAAATACATTTTCTATCCCTGTTGGTAAAAAACCACCAAAAGCGATTTGCTTTCAGCTGGCATGACAACATATTTTCAGCATCCTCCCTTAGGGTATCTACTATAGCCCTGGGTCATAGCCCACAGATCTTGATTACATTTCCTCTCCATAATAAAATATGGTGGTTAATCCTAGTAATGATATTATGCTGATTGGGCCTCATGATGAGGAAGCAGTAACTACTCTAGACATCGGATCAAGACGTTTGCCTGACAGTAGAAAATGAATGCCACAGAAAATCAAAGGATGTTCACTTAAATGAAATTTCCAAAGGCCCAGTCGCACGGGGCACGTTAGTGTTACTGGGGGAGTGAAACTTCAGCGGGATTGCCTGGATCTTACAATGGGAGTTGAACCCGAGTCTGGGTGAAAACCAGGAACCCCTAACCACTAGATCCAGCTGATAGGCTCTTGGCCTCTCTAACCCGGAAGAATGGGGAAAGGGGCCCTCGAGGTGTGGTGAGTTTACCCTTCCAATAAATACTGTGGACCCAAAGAGTTTTGCCGAAGAGCAGTTTATTAGAGAAAAAGCAGCTCCCAACCTGTCATGGGAGTGGATCCAGAGAGGGAATCCTTTCAGGTAGGAGCAGCTGAAGTGTTAACCCTTGAGTTATTTCCGCCCCATTCATGTTCTTGTCCAATGAGAGGAGTTCCTCAAACTTCCTCCGCATTGATTGATCTTTGACCCTGATATGGGGTTGGCTATTTGTTTTATAACCCTAAGTTACATCCTCTCCTCCATGAGCTCTGGTGGCAATTTGGAGGACTAAAGCCCTTTCTCCCTTTCCACAGGCGGGAAGATAGACGGAGAACTTCACCTGGCCCACATGGAAGAGGTGCTCAAAGAGCCCTAGCCACCTGAAACAGGGAGCTGGGAAATTCTTGCACTTGAAACCACACCTCTCACAGACTCAAAGAGAAGTTTCTCTAACACCATCCCTCATTAGGTATGTCTAAGGCAACAGTTTATTGCAAATGGCTCCTCCTCCCCCTTAAAGAAGCAGAATGCCTAACTGGCTTTCTTGGATCTTCACAGAACATCTCTTACTAACATATGCTATTCCAGCCCACTTACCAGGTGACTCAGAGCTATGAACATTGAAGAGGACCCAGAACAAGAGAAGGCTTAGCTACCATGCCAGGTGCTTTGCCACTGGCCATATGATTTAGCAGTTCCTGTGGCAATTTGAAGCCTTTAGGAGACCTCCCATGGGTAAATCACAGTACAGACTCAGGATTTTAAGCAAGCCAGTGGATAACATATTTTGAGAAATAACAATTTACTTGCTACAGGCCCTTCTAGAGACTGAATATTTAATCATATGTCACCAAGTTATTGTGTGACCTGAGATGCCCACGAGAAACTGGGTAGTGTATGCCCCGCAGTTGAAGTTGGATATGCACAGCAGCACTTCATTGATAAATGGAAGCAGTATTATTTGAGACTGGGCTTGAATAGACCATGAAGGTTCAATTAATTTGCATGAGGAATTGGTCCAAATGTTCAGAGCCTCCCACTCTGGTCCCTACATTACCTTCTCCCAGCTCGTAACTATGGACCCATGAAGATTTTTCTATGAGCAGTTGACTATCGAAGAGCTCTGGCTCAGTTTACAGATGACTCTCCATGATAGGCAGGCATCACAGGTAGACAGCTGCAGCACTACAGCCCGTTTCTAGGACATCCGTAAAGAATGTGGGTGAAGGAAAGTCCTTTTAGCAGCCAGAACTTTGAACAGTAAACCTGATTGTTCATTTTGCCAGGAAGGGGAAATGGCCTGAGGTAAGAGTTTGTAATAGTTTCTAACCTGTGGCCAGTGGTTCGGCTGGTTAGGAGTGTGGAAGGAATACAGTTTGAAAACTGGAGACAGTAAGGTCTGGGGGAGAGGTATGTGGACCGCCCTGAATGGGCAAAAAAGGTGGAATGGCCTTTTGAAGACTAAATTATAGCATCCGCTGTTGGCAATACCTTGCAGGGCTAAAGCAAAGGCTTCTAGGATTCTACATAGTGTTTAAATCACTGTCCAATATAAACTGTTTCTCCAATAACCAGGTTTCAAGGGTGTAAGAATCAAGGGGTGAAAATGGAAATAACTTTATTACTCCCTAGTGATTTCCTCAATTTTTGTTCCCAAGGAGTTTGGAACTAAGACCCCTAGACAGCAGAGCCTAAGGGAGGCATGACTGTAGCAGGAGACAAAACAATGAATCTGTTAAAGTTGAGATGGCCGGCATGGCATGCCATTAGCTGCCTCATACTTCTGATTCAAAAGTAAAGGAATTGCTGTACTGGTTAGGGTGATTGTTCTTGACAACCAAGGGAAAACTGGACTGCTTCGCAAGGAGGTAAGGGCTAATATGTCTGGAATATACAAGATCCTTTATGGTGTCTCTTGGCACCACCATGTCTTGTGGTCAGTCAAGTGAATACCATACCAACTCCATTTAGAAGGGATTGCTAATGGTCCAGACCTTTCAGGAACAAAAGCTCAGGTTATCCCACAAGGCAAAGAACCACAGCCAGCTGAATTGCTTACTCTAGGTAAAGGAAATATGGAAGGGGGTGTTGGTAGAAGGTGGTTATAAATACTGGCTATGACCATCTGACTAGTTGTGGAAACACAGATCCTGATAGTTACAAATATTTGTTAGGAATGTTTGCATATAAAGTAACTACTTGTGTCTCATCTCTTTACAATGTAGTACAAATGTTAATACTAGTTGACCTAGTATTTGTTAGGATAGAATCTAAGTAATTGCATATTAAAGAAGAGTAAACTGTACTCAAGTAAACTTGCACCCTATTGGGGAAGGGTGACTGTTTTCAGTTGTACACAGAGTTGTGTTATGTTAGGCAGAACTATCTATTTGGAGATTACGTCTTAATGTGATGCGTATAGGTGCCAAGTTGATAATGGTAGACTGTGTAATAATTTTTTGATATGCCTATGCGGCCAGACTACCGTCCCCAGTTCTAAAAACACTAAAGTAGGTGTTGCTTTAGAAGTATCATGTAAATATGATTAAACTCCATAATCAGTTGACTTGAAGTATAAGGGATGTTCTCCCAGACAAGCTTGTATGCCAGATCCAATCATTTGAAAGGACTGAACAGAGCCGAGGCTTCCCTAATGAAGAAATTCTCTGCAGTCAGAAGTTTCAGCAGCACCTGAGTTCCTGCCTGTTCCTCCTGAAAGCCTGACCTGTCTGTGGATTTTGGACTTGCCTTGCCAGCTCCCACAATTGCATAAAATGATTCCTTGCAATGAATCTCAACATGTGTTAATATATGCCTCCTGGTTCAGTTTCTCTGGTTGAACCTTCCATGATCCATGCTTTTAATATCTGATACCACTTCTAAGGTTAAGAATGCCAAAAAGCAGCAGTTCCAGCCACACGGAGGGAAATGAAAGTGACTTCTGTAAATCTGAGCCTTCAGTGTCGGCTGTCCCATAATTTATCCACTTTTGCCCTCTTCTGGTGATACTTGGAAGTTCACAGTGATGACAGCTCAAGAAACGCCCCTCACGATTCTCGGGCAATTCTGCTGAGGTCTCATGGAAAAACAGGCATTATGCCAAGGGTACAATCAGATAAATCACACTTTTCTCTTTTTCCAATATTTGGAGTTGCCTTCCTAGCTGAGAACAAAACTTTAGATTGTGAACATTTATGGCAGCCATCAGAATGTTTGTTGCTTTATTAAAAGTTTAAAAACAGAAAAGCAGTTTTTTGGTAGACAGGCTTACATATTCCTCTTGAGGTTCAAAGTCCTTTTCTCGCTACCCATCTTTCCATCCCACTTATTAAAATATTACTTTAAAATGCTTTAAGTGGAAGAACAAGGTTTCATAAAAGTGCTGACTTATGTTTTTATGCAATTTCCTTTCTATACTTGATGTATCTTCGCCATTTATCAATAAAGATCCACTTGTTCCTAATGTGTGCACAGTATTCTATAGTATGAATGAACTGGAACTTTGTCTTTGCCTTATGGATAAACATGTAGGTTTGTCCAGCTCCTTGGCAATTAAAAATGATGCAATGAAGAAACATAACATACACTCACTTTTCTATGCTCCTATTTCTGTAGGGTAGGTTATTAGGCAAAACCCTTTTGATACTGATGCTGGGTAACATGTCCAAGACCAGAGGTAACAAATATAGCCTAAGATGATTCTTTCATACTGTTTTCTCTTATCCCTGTCTACCTTCCACTCATGCAGGCACTAAAGATGTGGCCATAAAATATGCTATATGGATCCCTCTTCATGGAAAAACGTTTTATTCACCTTATCAGCAAAGATGGTGGAAAGCCTCCAGCTATCCTTCCAGATCTACTTGGGCTTTCAAGCCGAAGTCTTGGTCTTTATGGGCAGCTTCCAGCCCATGACTGAGTGTGGTAGTTACAACTAGGGACTATTTCTACCAAAACCATATGACTGTTAATTTTTAACTGGTGGAGACTTTGTCAGATCTGCCTCAGAACTGAAGTCTGGATGCCTAGTCCTTCTCTCCACTTTAGATCTGCACAGCCACCTGAAGGCTTTCCTCACTATGATGGGTAGAATAATGCCCCCAGAATGTTCATTCCAATCACATGAACTTGAGTGTTCCATACACGGTAAAAGGGACTGGCCCCTGTGATTAAGTTGAAGACCTTCAGAGGAGATTATGCTGGATTATCTGGGTGGTCTAATGGCATCAGAGGGGTTCTTGAAAAGGAGAGAAGATAGGATAATCAGAATGAGAGGAAGCAGAGGTTAGAATTATTCAAGGTCACCAAGGGGTACAGGCAGCCCCTAGAAACTGGAAAGTAAGGAGGTGGCTTTTCCCCTACAACTTTCAGGAGGAATGCAGGCTGCCAAGACCTTGACTTTTTTTTAAATCTCAGTGAAACCTGTTTTTTATTTCAGGCATCCAGAACTGTAAATGGTAAACTGGTGTCTGAACCCAGCAAGTGTGGTAACTTGCTATGGCAGCAAGAGGAAACTAATGCACTGGCTTGACCTTGTGTTCACCCTTCATTGTTCACAGGCATTACCCCCAAGAAACTCTCACTCCAAACCCTGTCTCAGCCTCTGCTTCTAGCTTCTCTCTTTCCCCAGCCTGCATGCCTTCTCTTTTCCCAGCCTGTCATGGGATTTGCTGTGTAATTGTGTGAACCAATTCTCCCCAATAAATTTTCTTTTATATAAACATATATTCAACAGGTTCTGTCCCTGCAGAGAACACGAGTATTAATATATCCATAACAGCTGTACTACAGCCATTTTACAATTTACAGTACTTTGCAAGGCTAGGGAAGGGTCTTCCAGAAGGCTGCATATGCTCTGAATCAGCATCCAGTATGTGGTCCTGTTTCTTCTACAGCAAAGACTCACGGGCCCAGGACTCAAGGGGTGAAAATGGGAGTGACATTACTCACCATCCCCTCTAATGACCCACTAGCAAAATTTTTGCTTTTTGTTCTTACGACGTAAGCTCTGCGGGCTTAGAGGTCATGGTTCCAGAGGAAGGAATGCTCCTCCAGGAGACACAATGACTCAATTGAGCTGAAAGTTAAGACTTGCACCTGGCCACCCTGGACTCCTCATGCATCTGACTTAGGCTGAGAGGGGAGTAATGGTGTTGGCTGGGGTGATACATGTAGACTGCTACTCTGCAGTTGAGGTAAGGAAGCATACGTCTGGAATACAGGATATCTCTTAGAAAGTCGTAGTATCACCATACCCTGTGATTAAGTTTAATGGGAAATGACAACAACTTTATCCAGGCAGGACTAGGAATGGCTCAGAACCTTCAGGAATGAAGGTTTGGATCACCTTACCAGGCAAAGAACCATGAGCAGATGAAATACTTGCTGGAGACAAGGGGAAAACAGAATGTATCCTAGAAAGATCATTAAAAATACCACCTATGACCAGTTATAGAAGTAGACTTTAATGAGTATTTAAGAATGTATAAACTCATTCATATCTTAAGCAAATTTTAATTTTCATTCTTATTCCTTTACCATGTAATATCGGGCTTACTGATTTTATTTTACTTTACTTTCAGAAGAAATTTTGCTCTGTCACCCAGGCTGGAGTGCAGTGGCATGATCTTGGCTCACTGCAACCTCCACCTCTCAGGTTCAAGCAATTCTCCTGCTTCAGTCTCCAAGTAGTTGAGACTACAGCTGTGTGCCACTGCATCCAGCTAATTTTTGTATTTTCAGTAGATATGGGGTTTTCACCATGTTGGCCAGGCTGGTCTCGAACTCCTGACCTCAGGTGATCCACCCACCTTGGCCTCTCAAAGTGCTGGCATTATAGGCATGAGGCACCACATCCAGCCGGACTTACTGATTTCATATGAGTATTTTACAACATGGTATTTAAGTTGTGGACTATCAGGGTAAATTTCACCCGAGGACTTTACATTTTCTGGGGAAGGAATTAAGGTGTTTTGTTTGTAGGATTGTTGCATCATGCTAGTTACGGAGATGCAAATGGGTGCCAAGTTGACAAAGGGTGGACTTGTAATGGCTAATTTTAAGTGTCAGCTTGACTGGATTAAGGAATACCTGAAGAGCTGGTAAAGCATTATTTTCGTGTGGGGGTGAGGTGTTTCCAGAGGAGACTGGCATGAAGGCTGGTGGACTGAGTGAGTGAGGAAGATCTACCCTCAAGGTGAGTAGGTACCATTCACTTGGTTAGGAACCCAGATAGAACAGAAAGGAAAGGAAAGGTGAAGAGTCTCTCTCAAAGCTGGGACATTTTTCTCCTCTTGCTCTTAGATGTCAGAACTCCAGGTTCTCTGGCTTTTGGATCCTGGGACTTACACCAGTGAGCCACCCTGCAGGTTCTCAGGCCTTCAGCCTCAGACTGAGAGGCTTCCCCGGTTCTGAGGCTTTTGGATTTGAACAGAGCAGTGCTCCCAGCATCCCAGGTTCTCCAGATTGCAGATGGCATGCTATGGGACTTTTCAGCCTCCATTAATACATGAGTCAGTACCCCTAATTAATCCCCTTCCATAAATCTGTTTCCTATTGTTTCTGTCTCTGAAGGACCCTGACTAATCCAACATCCCTCAGTTCATTATCCTTCTGCTGAGCATCAGTAAAATTAGTACAAATAAAGTAGTGACTCTAAAGGCTGCCTAGTAATCATTGTGTTCTTCACCTCCATGACCTTGCAGTAAAAGTAAAAAGCCAGAGATATTCATGATGCAGTTAAAATTGATCTTACTACATCTTTTAAGTGTCTTATGTTCTGCTTGATGAAATAGGAAGTACACATAAAGCTCTTTGCTTATGAAAGTACAACAGCTGTCTTAAGGCCAAGAGCTTGTGCCCCTGTCATTCTTCCAGTAGAAATGGTATTCCATGAAGAATGCAGTTTAGCTTACAACTCAAATTATGGTGGCTTAGACTTGGGTTTTGGACAGACATTTTCTTCTTCTTCGTCTTCGTCTTCGTCTTCGTCTTCGTCTTCGTCTTCGTCTTCGTCTTCGTCTTCGTCTTCTTCTTCGTCTTCGTCTTCTTCTTCGTCTTCGTCTTCGTCTTCGTCTTCGTCTTCGTCTTCGTCTTCTTCCCCCTTCCCCCTTCCCCCTTCCCCCTTCCCCCTTCCCCCTTCCCCCTTCCCCCTTCCCCCTTCCCCCTTCCCCCTTCCCCCTTCCCCCTTCCCCCTTCCCCCTTCCCCCTTCCCCCTTCCCCCTTCCCCCTTCTCCCTTCCCCCTTCCCCCTTCCCCCTTCCCCCTTCCTTCCCCCTTCCCCCTTCTCCTTCTTCTTGTCTCGCTTTGTCGCCAGGCACCAGGCTGGAGTGCAGTGGCACGATCTCGGCTCACTACAACTTCCGTCTCCCAGGTTCAATTAATTCTCCTGCCTCAGCCTCCCGGGTAGCTGGGACTACAGGCATGCGCCACCATGCCCAGCTAATTTTTGTTGTGTGGATTTTTTTTTAGTAGAGATGGGTTTTCACCATGTTGACCAGAATGGTCTCGATCTCTTGACCTCGTGATCCACCCGCCTCGGCCTCCCAAAGTGCTGGGATTACAGGCTTGAGCCACTGCGCCCGGCCCAGACATAATCTTAAATGAATAAAGTGAGCTAGTCACTTCAAGAAAACCAGCTGATGGTGTTGGTTAGCACTGATAAAAATTTGTGCTCAAGTAAAACTTAGATTTTTGGAATCTGCCTCCATGAACTTGACAACTTCCTATTAAAGAATTTTGTGATGAGCAGAGTATTAAGAATGTAAATTTTTGCTATCTTACAATGAAAATACTAACATATAGAAGGTTTGCATAACTCCACAAACTTTCCAAATGACCAGTGTATGGTAATAGAAAATCACATGTGAATAAGTACAAAATCACATTTTAAAAATCCATTTAAAAAATAGACCAATGGACTTGAAGAGAGCATGATGTTCATTGATATAGCTACAAATTCCAAATTGCAACTTATCTTTACCAGTTGACTTTTGATATAGCATTAAACAGAAATATCCACAGTTATCTAAAAAGGCATTTAAAATATTTGTGAGGCTGGATTTTCTTTATAAACTTCAAAGTAACATTGAAACAGATGGAATACAGAAATAGGTATGGGAATTCAGCTGTCTTCTAGTCTGCTGGGTAGTTGCAAATACATAAAATGATATTGCTATTCTATTTTTTAAAGAATTTTTTTTACAAAAATGAGATTTTAATGAGATTATTTTTAAGTTAAATGTTTTCAAACTTAAAAAAACAATCTTGATATCGTATATGTCAATAGATAAAACCCACCCAAAAGCTAACTGGGTTTCCATTTTAATAGCATAAAAGGGTTCTAAGACCAAAAAGTTTGAGAACTGCTATACAAGTTCTTATCACTTATTTCTATCATGCTGAGAATAGATCTTGAATTTGCCAGAGGTGACTTTAGTAGTTTGGTCCCTCTGTTTGCCACAGC